TTAACACCCTTAAATCTTAATATGCAAGATACTACTATTGCAGAGGTAGTGATATTATTATAGTGTAGATTAAAAAAAAAATCAAAGACTAGAGCTGATAATTGTCAAAGGACACAGACTCAAAAAGCAAGAGTCATGGTCTAAACCCAAGCCTTTCAGAAACCAGTTGATAATGCTCCTGGACAGTCATAGTTGGTCAAGCTAGCTTGAGAGAAAGGACAAGAAAAGTCCCACTTTACACAGAATGCCAAGGCAACAGACAGATGCAATGAAAATGTTTTTAGCAACAGCAGAAATGGAATTATTGGTCTTTATGCTAAAATGAATAGTTCACAGTTTTTAAGTAGCCCTAAACCTGAGGAGTTAAGAGACTAATCAGATACAACTTAGTTGGCCATGAATGACTAAGAACAGCAAAGCCCCAAAGGCATGCATGAGGATACAATGGAGTGATGGAGTTAAGCTGCCTCTGCTGCCAAAATCCTGTTCCTTCTTTGGTGAACATTTCTTCTGCAAAGAGAAAGGGTATGTGCATACTGTGTTACTGATGATGAAAAGCGGCTTGAAGGAGAAAAGTTCTCTAGGAATAGAGTCAATGTAAGCAAGAAGAATAGGCAGAGAAACACAAGATACCTTGGCCTAAGTGAAATATAATTCTTCCCCAGGAAAGAAGCATTTTCTTAAGAACCCAGTTCAAAATCTACTAGGCAGGGCCAAGGAGCAAAGAACAAGTATGTGACAATACAGACAGAAACAGCACAGAAAGTGGTGGCTGCTACCAGTAACTCAGCATACACAGAGCAAATAGCTAAGTACACAACACAAAGATGAGAGCAAGGTCTGCCATTACAGTGATTACAAAAATGGAAAAGGAGAAAACCTGGCTGAATCTTCTGATACTGCAGTAGAATTAGAGCTATCAGATTAAGTCCACTATACACACAGGAGAATACGAAGTAAACACAAGAGATGTGTATGTCCCTAGCTCTGTCACAATTTTAGAAGCAATAATGACAACTATTACCACTAACGGAGTAATTAAAGTTACCCCAGCTAATAAACACACCTAATATCTGGCTCTCACTGTTCTTCACAAAAAAAAAACAAAAAACAAAAAAAAAAAAAAAAAAACAAACAAAAAAAAAAAAACAGAGCTCCGTATGGAAAAAAATTATTCTAGAGCTAGAACAGGGAAATATGAGTCTAAAAGGTCTTGTTGTATTTGAAAGTTGTTTTTAAAAATTAAAAACAAAAGTGATCAAAAAATGACTGATAAATTTCAAAAGAACAGACACAAACTTTAAGGGTTCCAATGGCTAAACGTGAAATAATTCAAGCACCAAAACAAATGAAGATGATCCAGTGAGATCACTAAAAACAGACCTATAACAAGTGAGTCTCCCGACACATAGTCACATAGCTGAAGCAGGACAGATACATGGACAAAAGCATCCATGTAGTCTTAAAATAATTCTCCACAAAATACCTAGCAATTAACTGGAGGGAAGAATAACCACATAGTAGAGATATCTGACATCCACCGTCCTAAGCAATCTAATCACCAGGAAGGGACTAAATCAAACTGTGTACCACCTGTTAGGACACTGAGAAGAACAAAGTATCACTCTGGAGGTTTTCTGAAAAACATTACCTTAAAAAAATGTGAAGGTTACAAAAACCAAGCAAATGCTGAATAATTCCCAAATAGATTAAATGAACAGAAAAGCAAAATATAGTAGATTCTATCATGAAATCACTTTACATAAAGAGAAATATCATCCAACTAGCAAATCCAAAACTATGTGTGATAGCTGAATAGGGCTAACATCACTATTAATATCCTGATCTGAGGGCTGTGCTGTTGTTTATAGGAGATTGTACTTCATTATGGTCAATAATGATAACGTAGTCCTACAAATTCTGAAGTGACAACAATCATTAGTTAAGCTACTTAAGTTCAACCAATTATCTATGAAGGAAAAGAATGAGGCTGCTACAGTTCTTCCTTCAGACATCTTCAATCCATTTTAGGATTCTATAGGGCTTCATCATCCATGTGTCTCTAAGACCATGTGTGGAAGGCTTGGTCAACAGCCCATAGTGACACTGGGAAGTAGCAGAACCTTTAGATGGTGGAACCTATAAAGGAAGCTGGGTTACTATAGGGAACATCCATTTGGTCTCTGACCTCTTCCTTTCCTTTCTAACCACTTTCTAGACATGCCCTGACACAACAGAGAGGCAACAGGCACTGACTGAAACCTGATACTATGAATTAAAATAAACCCTTTCTTCCTTTTGATTATCTCAAGTAATTCTGTGATGGCAACAGAACCTGACTAGATAACATAGACAGATCCTTTGACTGCACTTCTACCAGTGACTTAAGACAGTGCTACGGTCCAGACAAAACTTCAGACCCTGACAGACACAAGGCCAACTAAGGGGCAAGGTACCCATACTTACAAGGATGTGCAAGAGTGACAGCATGAGAGAGAACAGAACACCAGCTAAAGCATACAACCGTGAGCGTACATACACAAAGGCTGTCACAATCTCTAACATGCCTTCTTGACACTGACGTTCATATCTCAAAATGTTTACAGTTCCACATATTTTACCTAGAGTCAGCCCTAAGTAGAGGATTCTTCATTCTGAGTCCTCTGTTTGGGAATGGAATGTTCTCTAGGCTGGTTCAGAGGTCTAAAGAAATATGAGAATTGGCTTCATCCTGACCCACACTGTGATCAACACACAGGGTTCATGCCAGTACTGTAGAACTTACTTGCTCAAGAGAACAGTTCCTAAATAATGATTTCCACAGTCAACAGTAAAATCATAAGACAGAAAAACATAACTCCCCATAATAACTGCATTTTTAAAATCAAAAAATATAGACACACAGGGAGGATGACCAATTCCTTTTCCAAACTGCATCTCTTATCTTTTATTAGACAGCATGAACTGCTGATGTTGGACTGACACGTTGGAGAAAATCCAACTTTTTTTCCTAATGAAAACAGTGATTGTAGAGGCTGGAGAACCAGTTTAGTAGTTAAGAGCACTGGTTACTCTTCCAGAGGACCTGAGTTCAGTTTCCTGCATCCACACAGTGGCTCATAACCATTTAAAACACCAGTTCCAAGAAATCCGATGCCCTCTTATGACCTCTGATGGCACCAGGTATGTTTGTGGTGCTTATGACAGATGCAGGCAAAACATGCATACACGTAAAAATTTTTTAATCTTTTTTTATGGTTTTTTCAAGACAGGGGTTCTCTGTGTGGCCTTGGCTGTCCTAGACTCACTCTGCAGAACAGGCTGGTCTCGAATTCACAGAGATCTGCTTGTCTCTGCCTCCCTGAGTGCTGGGATTAAAGGCATGCACCACCATGGGAAAAGAAAAGATCTTAATTCTATGAGTAAACACCTGTCCCTACAAGGGATTCAGATTACAGGAGCTCAGTTCTTTCATACATAACATCAGCCTTGTTCTCAGCATACAACTAAATTACAACAGCAAAAATGACTGTATCCATTAGATGATGATAAACTGCTAAGACACTACAGACCCAGAGATTCACTAAGGTTCATAGTTTGTTCATGTATGCATCTTCTGTCATCCTGCCCTTACGCTACACAGAACCTGAATTACATTCTTAACAGCAGGTAAACAACACGGAAGCTCAGAATTGCAGGGAATAAAAATCCAAGAGAGCAAGACAAGTAACAGAGACAGCCAAAGAGAAACTGTGACTTCTTTTCCTTCGAGACCTTCAAACTCCAAGCTGTACAAAGTACAACCAGCTCCAGGCATTCTTGGTATTCATCACATAACATGCTTTCTTTCCGCTTAGGAGTTTGAATGCTCAATTTTGCTCTTAAGCATTAATAAAAGAGCACTCTACTTTTCTGGGTAATAATGGTGCAGCATGCCTTTAATCCCAGCATTTAGGAAGCAGGAAGATCTCTGCATTTGAGACCATGCTGGTCCACAGAGTGAGTTTCAGGATAGCCAAGGCTACAGTGAGAAGCCTTGTCTCAAGAAAGAAAGAAAAGAAAGAAAAGGAAGGAAGGAAGGAAGGAAGGAAGGAAGGAAGGAAGGAAGGAAGGAAGGAAGAAAGAAAGAAAGAAAGAAAGAAAGAAAGAAAGAAAGAAAGAAAGAAAGAAAAGAATATTCTACTTTAATATTCTACTTTAATAGTTTCTATAGTGAACATTTTGGTTTCTTTAAAATCTCAGTTATGGTATGTAACTGTGAGATTGGTATTGCCCCAAAGAACCCAACGACCCTAACTAGCTTCAAGTAGTAAAAAAGAATTCTGCCCCCTCTACCCACTAACCTTCTTTCCCTCCGACTTAAGTGTTGGGGGGTTGGAAGATATTAGGAGGAATAAGGGGTAGAGAAGGGAGGTAGAGGCATAAGAAACCAATAAAATAGATTTAAAAGTATACCAACAACTTTCTGTATCTTCTGTAGAATCATAGATGAAATCAAAACCTACCCTACCACACAGCAGCATCAACAACCCTTAGAAAGTCTTTTTCATTTAAGTACAATGCCAGGAAAGTCTCTCTTTGTAAACAAATATGCATGCTTTCTTTCCACAAAAATGAGTACTATGTGATGCAATGCTATACAGGGAAGGGAATGTTTCCCTTTTAGCCTAACAGGCATAAAGCTAAAAGCCAAATATAAGAGTTATAATTAGCTTCTATCAGGAGCCTGGTACCTTCTATTCCTTATGTTCTTCTTAGATGGCTTATTAAACCCTTTATCTTTAATTGTAAGAGATCAAATGTGTTTGAAAGTGCTTAGAGTATGTATGAACATACATATTTTTCCTTTCTCTTACAATTTTCTATGACTTTCTACACTTTCTGGCATCATGCTATAGCCAATTTAGAAAGCTAATTTGATATTAACTCCCCCTGCACATTCCACAATTTACTGAGGGGCACAAGGAAAGCAAGCCCAGCCTGCCATTCCAGCACATCACCTTTACAGTAATCTGCGGGGTCCTCCTGCTCCTCATCGTCCGATCCCAGAATCTCCTCTTCTGGCTCTGGGGGTACTGGGTCTGGCAGTGGTGGCGGCGGTGGCGGTGGTGGAGGAGGAGGAACTAAAGGAGCTTTCTGTTGAGGCTCCGGCCTGAAACAGCAGGAAAATAAAATCTAGTTACAAGAAGCAAATCATGCATTTTGGGCAAATCTGAGTTTCTTGGTATGAGAAAAAAATAGAACTTGTCACACATTAAGAAGAAATGCTGATTAAAGTTATTTTAGTTGAATTCAAACAATGTTTTATCACATGAACTGGAGGAGGGTAGCAACTTTTCCTTTTATTAATGAGTGTTTTTTATAAGCATCTATTCATTCAGAGATTCAATATTTTTTAAGGCTGTAAAATTTTACCATAATGAAAGAGCACCCTACCCTGTGGCACACAACTCTGTAAGTTATAACAAGGCCAGCCGCCAGAGGAAAGATACTAGCACGTCCTGAGATGATATGCAGAATCAGGGCCAAAGAAACTTCCCCAGGCATACACTCATTCATTTATTTTGAAGGAAAAGTATGACCCTTTGGCTAAATCCAAGAGCTCCACCAGCCTTTTCTAGATTATTCTTAGCATGAGTTAACTATAGCTAATGAATGCAACTCATCAATTAGGAAAAAAAAAAAAACAAACAAACAAACAACCTGCCACAAGTAATAAAGAAAGGTAAGGAGAGTGAAAATAAGGAGAAATTCCAAATATTGCAAATGAACAGAGCTGGAAATAACATGGAAAGCAGAAGGCAAACACCACCAAGTATCATTACCTTTAGGCAGGACAACTAAAAAACACTAAGAAAAACATAGCTTGCATTGATTTCTACTCGCTAAAAGGCAGGAGCTCTGAAAGTTCCAGCTCTGTTATCCAGAGTTAACAGGCATTAGGATCACAGTGGGACCCTCAAACAGAATAATCAACACAGGCCTCACTTCCACAAGCAGTGCCCAAAACTTCAACAGGACTTGGAGAAGTGCCACATTTTCCTGGAAACTTTAAAGACCGCCCAGGAAGTGGGGAAGCAGGGAAGCAGAGAAATGTCACCGATTCTCCACTTCTCCTGAGGGAAAAGTGACAGATGATCAGAAAGGCAAGCATCATACACTTTCCCAGAGCAAATTGCTCAGAATGGGCAAAACCTATCTGATCAATTTGTTCAATACACTTTGAAAGCTGCTAGAAACCTCTGTCAACTAATGTAGACAGAGTCCCTAAATATATTCCTGTCAGTGATTTTAGACAAACTGCCATGGTCCATTTCACCAAACTTCAGAGACATCTGACAAATGCAATGCTTACTTAAAGGCCCAAGTTACTTAGCAAGTTTAGCCACGTGCCAATAACAGGCATATACATAAATGTGTACACACATACAGCTGTGACCACCAAAAATGTATCTAGACACTGACAAATGTCCCATACAGAGTGCTGGCACTTCATACGTACAGCTTCTCCTCGGCAGAACAGAGGGCACCTGTGACTGGGGGGAGAGTTTCCTTTCATTTGAGACCCTCAAGAACCTGTCTCACAATCTTAACTGAACTGCTGCACTGCTTATGTAGCTTAACAAACAGCCAGAGTTTCTGTTCTGAAGAGGCCCTAAATCCTTCCAGTGAGGACTACACTGAACATGACATAGGCACAAAGCAACTGAAATCCAGTTCTATCAATTAGAAGATGGTCAGTATACTATGATGAGTAAGGTTTTTTTTTTTTATGTTGATGGCATAATAGTCCACTTGTTATCATTATCAAAACAGCTGGATCTGTGCTACCTAATACAGCAGGCCACTGACTACAAAACTAAGTACTGGCAGCAATGTGGCTAGTCAGAACTGATGTGTGTTTTGTGAAATACATACTGGATTTCTAAAGCAGTACAAAACAGGGAAAATATTTTAGTATTTTTTATGTATTGTATTTTAAGATGTGTTATACGAGAGTTAAAGTGTATTATTAACATTAATTTCACTTGAATCTTTTTTTTACTTTGTTTAATGTGGCCACTGGAATCTGTAGTTACAAGGAAAGTATATACTGTATTTCTACTGGATGACAGTCACTCTGAACCAGAGCAGTAGCTTAGCCTCAAGTTTACACTCCTGATCACACCAGTGATGACAATTTTTTTTCTGAAGTTCTGTTTAATGACCTACCACATAACTGACACCACTTCTCAAAAATAGGTTCACCATTACAAGTGCCAAAGTAATATCCAAACATCATGCCTCAATTCATTTTGAATCCACCCATACTTGTTGAAGCTGTCACTTAGCAGAAGGCAGGAGAGTTTCTTTTAGGAAAGAATACTGAACCATGCCCTGGCACCTGGGGAAAAGCAGGTTTGCTCTTTTCCTTCCTTGAAAACAGGGTCTTATTGTAAGAAAAGGCTGGCCTCAATCAGGCTACATATCCAAGACAGGCTTTGAACTACTGATCTTCCTGCCTCCATCTCTCAAATGCTAGAATGACAGCATGCACCACAGTAGCTGAGGCAGTCTGAGAGTACTGCAGAGTACACTAATTTATCAGTTATCTGAAAGACCAAGGGGCACAGGCTCTCTCAGAAGAACAGGTCTTGAAGCACGCCAACAGGTTAGAAAACAACAGCCATCTATGCTGATGAACACCACTAGGAAAATATTCCAGGACCAGGGCTGGGAAGAGTGGCATAAGCCATTAAGTCCAGTACTTGAGGGAGAGGCAATCAGGAGGATCTCAGAGTTCGAGGCCAGCCAGGTCTATACAGTTGAGTTCTAAGACAGCCAGGGCTATGTAAAGAGAGTCTGTCTCAAAGAAAAGAAAAAAAAAAAAAAGTAATCTTTTCTATAGAAGAAATATTAGAAACACATTAAAAGTAAGAGTGCCAAGACAAACAGTTTAAGACAGAACTCTTATGAACAAATGGTGCTGAGATAAGCAAAAAGGTGCACTGGTGGGGCGAAGGGTCGCCCGCTGGGTGATTACTGCTTGCTACTCTTCTACAGGACCAAAGCTCAGTTCCTAGCTCCCATATTGGGCTGCTCACAAATATGGATAACTGCAGCTCCAGGGTCTCTAACAACCGCTTCCAACCTCTGCGAGCACCCAGGCACATGGCATCTACTCACACCGATGCCCACATATAAATATTAAAGAAAGTTGAATGGCTGACTCACCATACACATAACTATTACTCTAACATGGATCAAAGACTTAAATGAAGGATCTAGAACTCTGAGAAAAGAAACACAGGAGTAATCTTCATGATCTTGAGTTAGGCAGTGCTTTTTACACACAATACCAAATAAAAGAAAAACCATACTTCATCGTAACTGTAAAAACTTTTAAATAGGCAAAATGGTTTAGAGAGTAAAGGTACTTGCTTCCAAGCCTGATGACCCAAGTTCAAATGCAGGGACCCACATGATGGAAGAATAGAATGGACATTCTCAAGTTGTCCTCTGACTGTCAAATACACACTATGGCATGCCTTCCCACCTCCAATAAATAAATGTAATAAACTCTTTAAAATCTATCCCCCCACTGCCTGACTCTGTCTTCCTTCTCCCCCTCCCCCCGTATGTGTGTGTGTACTTGCCCACAGAAGCTAGAGGTCAATCTTGAGTGTCATTCTCCTACTTTTTGAGACATGGTCTCTCACTGGAACCTGGGGCTAGCAGATTTGGCTGCACTGGCATGCCAGTGAGCCCCTGAGATTTTCCTGTATCTTCCTCAATCCTGCCGGGAATTTTAAGGCCCCCATCACCATGCCTGGCTTTCAAAGGAAAAACTTTCATTCAAAAAAAAAAAAAAAAAAATCAAGAAAACAAAGAGTCCACTCAACAGGAGAAAATATTTCAAAATCATATAACTGAAAAGTGACTTCCTTTTATCCTGGAATATATAAAGAAGTCTTACAACTAACATTAAAAAGACACACTAATATAAAAACAGGCAAAGAAACTAAAAATGTAGTTCAATGGTAGAGCACTTGTTCACATCATCAACAAGATTTTAAGTTCAGTCACAAACACCAAAAAAAAAAAACAGAGGATTAGGATGGAAACTTCGCAAAGAAAATACATGAATGATCAAAACACAGAAAGATCCTTAGTATCACTGTCTTTTTGACGGTTTTAATTGTCACCTTGACAGTCTAGAATTAGCTGGACAGAGAGTCTCTAGAAAGACCCAGGCCACTATGGGCGGCACCATTCCCAAGGCAAGAGTCCACACTCAAGTGTAAACTTACAGGAGGCATGCCTTGATCTCTCTGGTCCTGACCATAGATGTGATATGATTACCTACTTCAAGTTTCTGCCTTCATTTCCCTGCAATGATGGACCATAACTGAGAATTGTGAGCTAAAACAAACCCTTTCTCCCTAAGTTGCTTTGTGTCAGGAAGTTTTAGCATAGCAACAGAAATGAAAGTAGAGCAGGCAATCATGAAAGGGAAATCAAAATTGCAAGGAATTGCCTCCCACACTAAGGCAGCTATAATTAAAAAAAAATTCAACATTAACAAATGTTGGGAGGGTGGAAACATGGGGCCCTCGTATATAGTTGGTGAGAATATAGCACAGCTATTTTAAAGAACAGTCAAGAAAGTCCTCTAAGATTAAAAGGAGAAGATTGAAGATGGCTCAGCAGTAAGAGCCCTGGCTGCTCTTCCGGAGAACCCAGGTTCAATTCCCAGTTCCCACACAGGAGCTCATGACTGTCTGCAACTCCAGCCCCAGAGAATCTAATGCCTCCTTCTGGCTGCTGCACCGTACACTGTACACCGGTGCAGACATACATACAGGCAAAACACCTAGAGTCATAAAAATAATAGATAAAATGCTCAAAAACATTAAAAATTTTAAAATAAAAGGAGCAGATGAAAAGGCTAAGTGGGTAAAGTACTTGCCACCAACCCGATGACCTGAGTTTGACCCTTGAGACCACATATAATGCAAGGAAGAATCAACTTCTACAAGCTTTCTCTTACCTCCACTCAACATCACCACCCCCACTCAACCAATCAATGTAATCTTTAACACGTTAAACATTGTTAACATATGATTCAACAATTCTGCTCCTAGGTATATACAGAAATGAAACCTCTCCACA